CCAAAAATTCAAGGATCTGAAGTGGCCAGTAAGGAGAGAAAGAGGGAAGGAAAGGTCCAGGAAGAAGATATCTTGGCTTTCTCTCCTAACACCGTCCTTCAGTTTTCTCTAAGAAATAGCCTTGACTTCCAGTTGAGGAGAAATAGCACCAGGGGCTCTGCTATCCAGGCCTTAAAATCTGACATGGAGATCATTCTTGAAAGGTAAGACATTTCCTGGGACCATCACGCATTTCCACAATTATCGAGAGAAAGCTGTAGCCAAAGGCCTGGGACACTCTTAGTTGCCATCATTAGGACCTGGGTGACGTACCAGGTTTGGAGCCATCCTCACCTCTGGAGCCAAGGAAAATAAAGGGGCCCTGGGAGGACCTGGCAGGGAAGTGAGGCCAGGAGAAAAGATGAAGAAAAAGAACAGTTGTGGAGATACTTATGGAAGACTGGGAGAGAAAGTGAGTACTTCACTGGTGAGAAGCCATGGGAATAATTCAGACCTCTAAGGACCCTTCCTTATAAACCTATGATCCTACGAATTTATGATGGGAGATGGTTACAGAGTAGAGAGAAGAGACTGGAGCCAGCTCCAGCACAGCACAGAGAAGGCTGCTCAGTGCTCAGCCAGTACAATGCAGGATCCAATCTTCATAGTAGGAAACAGCACAATAAACCCCAGGTAAATGTGGACAGGTACATCCAACTAACCAGCCCACCACTCCAATTTGGACTTAACAGTCATGAATGTGGCAGGCCAATGGACCCCAAGAGTTACCCTAAGAGACACAGACACAGAGAAATAGAAGAATCAGGGTTATGTTGGGGAAGACATTACAAACAAATTTGGACAAAAAGGACCACTGAACTGAAGTAGACCTCAGTTCAGAGGCCTAGAACTTGGACAGAGGTGGGCAGAGGTCTCCTCAGGACTCAAGAAGGGTTCATTACCAATAGGGCATGCTTAAACGGCCCCAGGGATAGAACCAGAAGGTGACATAGAGGGCTGACACTGGGGTATCAATGTCAGAGGACCAAGAGAATAGGAAATAGCATACTTGATAGGTCCCCTTGTGTCCCTGGAGGAAGCCAGGACACAGCCCACCCTTCCAACTGATATGTCTATTAGCTGGAAATATAGAGTTTTGATGATAATTTTACTCACAGACATCAGAATCTATGATAGGAACATGAACTTGCTGTAAATGGAAGGGAGGCTCTAAATCCACTATAGAAAGAAAGATGGGAGAGATGATACACTCTGGGTGTCTCTGGGTGCGGATCACGTCTAATATGCCTCTACCCATCCCTTCTTCCCTAAACCCTGAACAAGGGTGGACTCCACAGACAAAGTGCCCTTCCCTTTCTGTTTGTAATTAGCTACAGCACACCACTGTAAATGATCTGTCACAAGCTAAAGTCCCTTAGAAACACCATCTGACTTCAAGAGGAATAAAGAGGGTGTCCATACTGAAGACAGGCTGGAACTAGTGATATCACTTAAAAGAGACCAGTGCCTCTTTCTGCAAGGGATCATGGTCAAGACTTCCTACAAAGTCTGTTCTCTGCCCCATCCCTATCCCATCCCTATCTCAGGAGTGATCCTGTACCAGGAAGGTTTATGACCTTAAGGAGCCCAATATACCAGAGGCCTAGGTAAGCAGGAGTCCAATGTGACCTTGGTCATGCAAAGCTAGCAGTCAGATTGGCCCGTCTAGCTCAGACCTGCAAATGGGGGGGGGGGGGCCAAGAAGAGAAGAATGAGGCATGATAATGGGTGAGAAAGGTCACGGCCAGGAAGAGTGTACACATGGGGTATTCTCCCAGCATAGCAACAGTCATGATATGGTAAGGGCAGACCTAGCAATGGCAGAAGGGCCACGTGGTGATCCCCGGGATACTCTGTGTCCTCACCAGAAGTACGTCAGGACAAAATCCCCAGGCTCTGGAATTCAACAACTCTGAGTTCTATTAATTGATTCTACTTGACCTTCCCTCTTCATGACTTAGAGGAATGAAGGGATTGCTCACACTAAGAACAGACTCACACTGGTAGCATCACTCGAAAAATCTGTTGGGAGGACACAGCTCCCAGATACCTCAGAGGACAAACCAATACTTGGAATCATAGGAAGACTGAAGGAACGAAAAGAAATCATGTCCAGGATCCCCTGCTACAAAGTGTTCTCTCTGCCCCAACCCTTACCATCTCAGCACTGATCCCAAGCACCAAGAAAGTCTATGACCCAGTAGCTTTGATAAGATAAGGTGAATAGTCCCACTTCTTCCCCTTTCAATGCTCAGAACCCTCACACTTTCTGGTCCTCTACTATCCTAAGGGAAAGAGTCATTAATTTGCTCACCCCGAATGAAGGGTGGAGGTCTTCTTCACCCATATCAGAAAGAGTTAAGATCTGGGGCAGCTAGGTGGCATGATGGATAGTAGACCAGCCCTGGAGTTTAAATCCGGCTTCAGACACTTGACACTTACTAAGCTGTGTGACCATGGGCAAGTCATTTAACCTCAATTGCCTCACAAAAACAAAAAATAAACAATAAAAATAAGAGCTAAGATCCATTTGAATATTTAGTATCTAATTCTGTCTCCCCCTCAGAACTACTTATATTGTATTTGTGTATATAATGTTTAATAACCCTCCTATAAGCTCTTTAAGGAAAAGGACTGTTTTATAGGTGCTTTCTTAACCCCAGCACTATCCATCCCAATGCCTGACACAAAGTAGATACTTAACATAGGTTTGTTGAATTGAATGCAACAACCACATAATATGCATTTTTAAATCACAGACAAAGAAATAATGTCCTAATGGTGGAATCTCAGAGTGCAACCAGCAAGTAGGGAAAGAATTCTTGGGCATAGACTTTTCTTCCTCTCCCTGATACTGTTATCATTCCAGCCAACTTCTATAGACAACAGATAGTAGACCAGGAAGAGAACTGGCCTAGTATCAGGAAACCTGGGTTCTGGTATGGCTCTGCTGGTACCCTGCTACGTGACTTTGGATAAGTCACTTGTCCCTTTGCTGAGCCATCAGTGAAGCGGTAGCATTTTGGAAGATAGCATCTGTAAGGTCTAACACCTCTGACACATACTGGCTGTATGACCCTGGACTAGTCATTTAGCTTATCAGTGCCCTGGCTCTGATATCTATGGTTCTATGGTTCCCCTTATGTATTATGAAGGGTATTATGTAATACCCTTCCTGAGCTCAAGCGCCTACAGTAGCAATGGCACCTTATTGCCCAACATATTCCATCTAAATTCTCAGCCAAATCCTCTACTGCCAGGTTCTTACCTTTTTCACCCCTCCTTTCATTACTCCCAGACCTGGGTTCTGTGCAACGGAGACAATCCCATATCACTTCATTCCCACACAGCGTATTCATTCTCTTGTGTGCCTCTTTCACGTACCTAGCCTCCCCCTGGGATTCCTTACCTTCTCTTGCTTCTCCTCCCTGGTCCTGTCTAATATCCATGAATACCTTCTTCTACTTTTCCTCTTTTTCTCCAAAAACTCAAGATCTGCCCCCTCCTATAAAACTGACTTAAAACTCACCTGTTGGAGCCTTCCTTGACTTTAGGGGATCCTTTTGCCCTTTGCTCAGGACCTGGTATGGGGCCCTCAGCTTTCTGGAAATGCTGACCACATACCAACACTGTCCCCCTCCCATTAAATGCCAGTAGGTATAGGATAGGGCAGCCAGCTCCTCTGGAACCACCCAGTCTCCTCATCATTTCCTTCAACCTTGCCCTGGCCTGTAGCCTTACAGTAACAGTTCTTGGATATGTGGGTATGTTGGATCAGGCCAATGCTGGGTACATGAGCTAGATCCAAGGAGGAAGCATTACTGGTCTTTCCAGCTTCAACACGACAACCCATCCAGTGGGTGAGGGATATCACTTATACTGGGGACCTATGTGGATAACCTCAACAGACATTGTGACAGACTCCTCGTGGTCCTGCTAGAGCTGCTCCTCTCCCCAGTTTCACCTTGTAGGATGCAGGATCTTGGGAGCCGCAGAGAGAAAGGAACAGACGAACACATTCAGGACACAGAGGCAGCCGAGTGTGGGGAGAGGCCTCACGTGTCCAGCTCCATGCAGGCAGAGGGCACCAGGGTCCAGCAAGGTCATTTCCTCACAGGCAGGAGCTAAACCCAGAATGCAAGTTCCTAGAACCATTTCATTTTTGGTTTTGTATCCAGTGCCTAGCACAGGACTTGGTACACAGTAGGTGCTTAATAAAGTCTTATAAATTGATTGATTGAATGATTACATACACACCAGTAATCTAAGTCCGGAAAGAGAAGATTTATGATTGAACACACTACACAGAGGCCTGGAAAATACTAGGACTCAAAGTAAGAACCTCGTTTGGGAGGGCTCCTGGCCCTGATTTACTGATCATAATAGCTACGATAAGATTGAAAAGGCTAGACCAGAACCCTGGGCAGGATTGGGGGCGTGGAGGGAAAGCTACCTTAGAATTAATTAGTCTAGCATTGCCCAAGTCAGACACCAAGCAGAAAACTTTGTGTCTGTTGACACAGCTGTCCCCCATGTCAGGAATGTTCTCCTTCCTCATCGATACCTCTTGGCTTCCTTAGCTACCTTCAAGTCCCAGCTAAAATCCCACTTTCTAAAAGAAGCCTTTCCCAATCCCCCTTAATGCCAGTGACTTCCCTGAGCTGATTATCTCCAATTTATCCCGTATCTATTTTTGTACAAAATATTTTGCATGCTGTCTCCCCCATTAGACTATGAGGGTCCTTGAGATCACGACTGTTTGCAGAGTGTCTGGCACACAGCAGGCCCTTAACAGATGTCTAATAACAGCTTACTGACTGACTGCCAAAGAACTAGAAGCAATACGTGTCCATCTATTAGGGAATAGCTAAACAAACTGTGGTACCAGAATGTTATGTAACAGTACAATGCTGTAAGAAACAAATATGATGAATACAGAGAGACACAGTTGAGGACTTTTTCTAAGGATAATGTTTATTTTGATGTCCCCTCCCAAAGTAATCTCCCCACACTTTGAGACAATTATACATCATAACACATCTGTTAAACCCAACTCAGAATTTACATTGTTATCAATTAGTCATTCACATCTGTAAAGTTTGGGGGTTTTTTTAGGATTTACCTGTTGAAGTTCTGTTTCTGGGTTGATTTACATATCAAAGTCCTTAAAGAGGGCTTACTCCTGTAGAAATTCTTGTAACAGCTGTGGGGGTTCCAAATGCCCATTTTTAGAGGAAAGTATTAAATAGTATATGAAATTTAGCAGAAGAGTACGATAGGTCTTGGGATGATGTCCAATTTTCCTTAATTTTTTATATATCATATTGAAATTCTGTCTTTTCTCATCTGAGGTGAAAAACTCAAATTGCTGTTCTTTGAAGGTGAGTTTTTTCTACTTATTTACTTGTAGTCATGTTATTCCTGTAGCTCTATAATTAACAATAACAGATCTGTGTGAGTTGAATCTGGAATTGGTTATTGTCAGCATCCAATGGATTCTGGTGATATGCAGTCTGTCCCATATCCAATAATTTTGAAAATTTTTCTTATGCAATTTCTTTTCTTCATATATTTTGGAGAGTACAAATGAATGACTAGAAGACTCCATGGCCCCACTCTCCTAAGCATGTCAGCTGTTACACATTGCTGGGTAAGGTTAAACCTTAATTGCACACAGTTCTAGTTAGAACTGGTTGCAGAAGCTCTCCCACAAACTCGCTGATACAACAAAGTTAGAATTCTACCTTCCTCATCCTGAGTTGGCCTTCCTAGTTAATTTTTAGGAACTCTACTTTAGATGCTAATCCATGTTCCCTGACCCTATCACCTCACCAGCAATGTGACAACTGCCAAAGCAAGCACTTTGTCTGAAGACTCCATGTAAACCCAAGGCCCTAAAAGTGCCATGCCTTTGAGCAGAGCCCAAATCCTCTGCTTATCTGGGCTACCACCCAGCATGCTACCCTAGTGTGGCTTAAGATGGAGGGGATAAGGGAGCCAGCCCCCATGGGACTCTAGCCCTGGCTGAATGCTATCTACCCACACCCTTCTCTGCTGAACTTCACTGTATCATAAACCATTTTGACCCATCCAAATTTAATTTATTTGCCACACTCTACCCTAAATTTCCATGACAACAATGATTCTTGAATTACCTAAGCTCCATCCTTCTCTAATTCTGCAATCTATTTGTAAAGTTGTAAATGAGTCTCATAAGACAAGAGCAAATGTTCCCAATTTTCAAAAAAAGAGATGAGACCGGAGTCTGCAAGAACAGGACAGAGAGCTTGACTTTTTTTCTTAACAATATTCTAAAACACTATTAAAGAGATATTTCACAAGCACTGATAACAAAAAAAAGAGATTACTAAAAGCCAGCAATAGCTTTATCAAGAATAAAGAATGGAATCCTGCCAGCCTAAGCTCACTGCCTCTACTGAAGGTAATTAGACTGGTAGATCAGGGGAATGATGTAGATACAGTTTATTAGAATTGCTAGATCTGAACAAAGCATTTAGCAAAGGTTCTCACATTATCTCTGGGGACAAGATGGAGAGGCATGGACTATGTAACAGTACAGGTAAGTGGATCTGAACAGACCCAAAAAAATAGTCACCAATGGAGCATCAACTTGAAAGGGGATCTCCAGCAGACTGTCTCAGCCATCTGTCCTTGACCCTAAGCTCTTCCACATTTCATCAATAACTTGTAAGAAGACAAAGAAGGTATGTTTGTCAAATTTGTAGATGGCACAAAGCTCAGAAGAACAGCTAACCTGTTGGATGACAGATTTAGTTTACAAAAAGACCTTTGACAAGACAATATAATGGCTTAAGTCAAATAAGATGAAACTTCACATGGATCAAAATAAAGTTCCACACTTTGTTCAAAACCACCAATTTCTCAAGTAGAGAACAGGTAAGCATCGGTTCACACGCACACATACACAAATCTGAAGGTTCCAGTGAACCATAAGTCCAATAAGAGTTAGCACTCCAACAGCAGTCAAAAAAGCCAATGCTATACTAAGCTTCACTGACAAGATCAGTATCAATCCAGACAGTAAAAGTTCTGTTGCCCTCGGCTTTAAATGGATCATATCTGGAGTATTATGTTCAGTTTTAGGTGCCAGCATAGCTTTATCAAAGATAAAGAATAAAGTCTTGCCAGCCTAAGCACCTCTAATGAAGCCTGCCGCTAATGAAACAAGGAGATACAATAGGTTTTGAGGACATGTACAAGATGTGGCATATGCAGAAGAGGGCACCCAAGATGAAAAACTAAAGACGCCCAAAAGGATCTGTTGAAGTAACATGGTAATTATCAAGTATCTGAAGGCCTGTCAAGTGGAAGATGGATTAGATTTAATCAGATTGGCCTCAGGGGCAGAATCTGCAGAGATATTTACATTTGATGTCAGCAAAAACTTCTAGTTATGGATGTACAAAAGTAGTAGGGATTGCCTCTGAAGGTAATGAATGGGTTTTCTCTCACTAGAGGTCCCCAGAGGTTTTCATGGATATTGTAGCAAGAATTCTCAATCAAGTATGGGACTAATTTCTGAGATGCCAAACTCTTAGGCTCAGTGATTCTATGACTTCTGAGATTTAGGGTTCCTTATAGCTTTCAATCTCTTCCTTATCTCACGTCTCACCTGTTCTCTCCACAGAAAAATCACATGCCTTGGGAGAAAGCCTGGTTGACTCAGCATCTAAAAAATGCTTCAGAACATGTTATATCCAAGAACTAGATTAACAGAGCTAAAGATGGGACAGCCTACCCCCTCCAACTCTAAACCCCAGACCTCAGTTCTCACTGTAGACTCCAACTACCACCAACTCCTGTCTCCAGCAAAAACAACATGGTGGCTCCTTACAATTCCATAGTTACTCAGGATTTGACCATAACCCTATTATGCTTTTAGTCTTTTTCCTTTGGTCCTATGCTTGATACGTTCACATCCTGGACAGGTATTAATGATGTGGACTAATTGGTCTAAAAACAAGTATTTCTAAATTGAGAAACTGCTGACCATTCCAACACACTCACCACGATGCCATTTCCCTGTATTAGTGGAGGGATGCTTTCCTTATGTGCACTTCCCAAACCCAAGTCCAGGACTTATCAGGTGCCACTGCAAGCATGATATCCATTCATCAGTGAGCTAGGTAGCATGTCCAAGTTGAGTTCTACTGGTGTGGTTACCAAATCACCCACCTCCCAATTCCCAGGGCCACATCCTCCTAACTTCACCAACACATAACAGGAAGGACTGAACAATGGCAAAAGATTCTGATGCCGGGAGACAACTCATGTTTTAAAAAATGAGATCTCAAGGACTTTCCATTCTATCCAATGCAGGAATAAGGGTAAGGTAGGCAATGAAAAGAACAAAAATAGTGAATGGACAACAAATATACACATGTGCTTACAATACATATATGCACACAGCACATTCACACTCCTTTCCTCACTAGGAATAGTTTTCATAGCACTGGTTGATCAAAGAAGAGGTAAAAGGTAAAATCCCTTTCCGAGACTGTAGTTGGAAAAGTCTACAGAAGAAAAATGAAGTCAGTCAAGCCAAACTCAGAGCAACATGGAAAAATGTGACTTCCAGAAGCAGAGAAGCTAGACAGCGTCTTCTCTACCTTCTCAGGTCAGAGGGGCCCAGTGTTTCTATACACTAGGTACCCACTCCAGGAACTGAGCCAGTGAATACTCTTCCAAATCACAGTTTTTCAGCACTGACCTGAGAGAAAACAGAAAATCTCAAACCACCCTCTCCCTGAAGAAAGTAATAAGGAAGTGAGATGTCCCATTGGGCCAGGAAGACAGAAAGGTGCGCTCCTCAGGAAAAGGACCACAAGGTCTGAGTTTGGTCAAGCTTCAAGATAACTTCTGGCTAATGGAAGGCGTGAAGTGGGGAGGGATCAATAACTGAGATCAGAATTACTTATTAAATTAAACATCCTTTCTACCTGGCTCAAGGCCCAGTCCTCTCTTCTTGAACAGAAATAAAAAACTTTGTGAAGCCCTATATTTGTTACTCTTTAGTTCTCCAGTCCAACAGCTTTCTGTTTGGACCCTTTAAAAAGAAACTGTCCCTAATTCATCTCAGAGGACTTACCTGTCTATACTGTACAACCTGAGGAGGGGGCTCTGGGCACCCAAACCTGTCCCCTTAAGTACAACCCTCCTTTTCTTGGGACATCAGTTCCACCTGTGAAATGGCAAAAATCATATGCCCTCCCCTCTTAGAAGATAACTATTTACAAAAATAACAGTAAATACCTTACATGCCAAACATTAAGAAATATATGAGTATGTCTATGTCCTTTCTTTCTTGGCATACTAATAGCCCCTCCTCACTGTCAGACCTCTTCAGAGACATGCAGACTATCTGCATTATTCTCGTGAGAAAAAAAAATATTGGAATCACTCTCCTCATTAGCTCTGTTCCTCAGAGACAGATGTCACTGGAGGTAGGGAAGGAGGTATGGGATGATCACACCCGGGGGAGAGTCACTAACAATATCCATGTCACCCTGATGTCAATGACAAACAACAAATACAGGAATTCCTTGACAGTGGCTAAAGGCAAAGCAAATCTGATGTATCCAATCCATAGTTTCTTGGAGTAACTAAACTCCAGCTCAAGATATTACATTCCCATTTATTTCACATTTCTTGAGTTTCCTAAAAAGTAAAGGGAGGAGGTAAATAATTAATGTTTCCTCCATTTATTACTCAGATTAATCTATCACAAAATAAACCTTATTTCTCATAGGCACATGGCACAAGGCAAGGACCAAACACAATAAGACAAACATAGATCTTGCCCTTGAGGAGCTCATAATTACTTTATGGGGTTATAAACCCATTATATTTTTCTGAAACTTAACAAAAGTTACAAGTTGTCTGAAGATCTGTCATATTCAGAATATGCATAGGGTCAAAGTTTGGTGTGTACTCTTCGATGTGTCATAAGGCCAGACCAATGCCTGAAGGGTTTCCCACATTCTTTACATGAATAGGGCTTCTCCCCAGTGTGAATTCTCTGGTGTTGAGTAAGAGCTGAGCTTTGATTGAAAGCTCTGCCACATTCATTACACTCATAGGGTTTCTCTCCAGTATGAATTCTCTGATGTTGAATAAGGGAAGAAGTCTGATTGAAGGCTTTCCCACATTCTCTACAATGATAGGGTTTATCTCCAGTGTGAATTCTTTGATGCTGAATAAGGTCTGAGCTCCCCCTGAAGGCTTTCCCACATTCACTACATGAATAGGGTTTCTCTCCTGTATGAATTCTTTGATGTTTCCTAAGATCAGAACCACGGCCAAATGCTTTCCCACACTGAGTACATTTGTGGGGTTTCACTCCCATATGACATTTCTGATGTTTTCGAAGTTCTGAGTTCTGCTTAAAGGTTTTCTCACATTCATTACATTCAAAAGGTTTCTTGATAGTCTGATCTCTTTGATGTACACTAGAAGACGAATTCTGGCTAGAGTTCTGGTCATTTGTATTAGATATATGGGGTTTCTCTCCTCTATGTTGTATAACCAGGTCTGAGCTCATATGGCAACTACTCAGACTTTCACCATACTCATCACCATTGTCTCCTAACAGAGTTTTTTCAGAAGGGATGGTCACTAACATAATTCCATCCTGGGAAAGGGATCCATCTATTTTCTCCATTGTGTCTCCTTGCTTCTCATCTAAAGTGCCTTCACATTCATAGGCTTCTCCAATCTCGGTTCCCTTGGAAATATCCATTGGGAATCTTCCAGATATCCTCTCCTTTGACTCTACTTCTTCAGGAAGTTCCTGTTTTGGAAAGGACCACTTGATACTAGTCTCAAAATCTGAAATGATCAAGAGAAAACACAAATGTCATGTGTGCTGAGAGAAAGAAACCTCCTTAAAGGAATACCAACAAGGATTTGCATCTCCCCAGCCTGTTGCAGTTATTACAACTCTTTTAATAAGCAAGAAGTATGATTATCCTTATTTTTACATATTAGGAAACAGAATAAGAAAGGTGACAAGATCACAGATTTAGAGTGGGATGGGTCCCCAGAAGGCATCTATTCCAACCCTCTTTTATCGACTGGGGAAGGAGGGCTGCTGATAGAAGAGAGGGCAGATGGGGGAAAGTGGTAGTGAGAAGTAAAACACTATTGAAGAAGGACAGGATGAAAGGAGAGGGAATAGAATAAACAAGGGAAAGAGGACAGAGGGAAATATAGTCAGCACTCATAACTGTGAAAAAATTTTTGAAGCAAATTTCTCTAATAAAGGCCTCATTTCACAAATATATAAATAAGTCAAAATTATAAAAATAAGAACCATCCCCCAATTGATAAATGATCAAAAGATATGAATAGTCAGTTTTCAAATGAAATAATATCAAAGCTATCTATAGCCATATGAAAAAAATGCTCTAAATCACTACTGATTGGAGAAATACAAATTAAAACAACAAGGTACTACACCTCACAGTTATTAGATTGGCTAATAAGACAGAAAAGGAAAATGACAAATGGTGGAAGGGATGTGGGAAAATTGAGACACTAATGGACTGTTGGTGGAATTGTGAACCAATTCAACGATTACGTAGAGCAATTTGGAACTATGTCCAAAGGCCTATCAACTGGAGAATTGGCTAAACAAGTTGTGACATATGATTATGATGGAATACTACTGTGCTACAAGAAATGATAAGCAAGATGCTCTCAGAAAAATCTGGAAAGACTTACATGAACTGATGCAAAGTGAAATGAGTAGAACCAGGAGAACGTTGTACACAGTAACAGCAATACTGTAAGACGATTAACTATGAATGACTTAGCTATACTCAACAATACAATGATCTAAGACAACTCTGAAGGACTTATGATGAAAAATGCAATCCATACTCAAAGAAAAGAACTGATGGAGTCTGAATACAGATCAAAGCATGTTTTTGTTTACTTTATTTTTCTTGGGTTTGGGGGTTTTTTTTGGGGTCTGTTTTCTTTTACAACGTAACTAATAAGGAAACATTTTGCATCATTACACATATATAAGCTATATAAAATTGCTTGTCTTCTCAATGTGGGAGTGGAGAGGGAGGAAGATAATTTGGAACTCAAAATTTTAAAAACAAATGTTGCAAATTGTTTTTACATGTAATTGAGGGAAAATAAAATGCTTAATTAAAAAAAAAAGTAGGATGCAGGGAAATACACAGTAATCATAACTGTGAATGTGAATGGAATGAACTCACCCATAAAATGGAAGCAGACAGCAGAGTGTATTACATGATTTAGACAGAAAGGGTGATACCATAAGCAAATTAGGGGAGCAAGGACTAGCTTACCTGTCAGATCTATGGAGAAGGGAAGAATTTATGACAAAACAAGAGATAGAGAAGATATAAAATGCAAAGTTTTTATTACACTAATTTTTTAAAAGTTTGCAAAAAAAATAATTATGTAGCCAAGATTAAAAGGAAAGCAGAAAACTGGGGGTAAGGGCAGGTGTTACAACAAGTTTCTCTGATAAGGGCCTCATTTCTCAAATATATAGAGAACTGAGTCAAAAGAATACAAGTCATTCCCCAATTGATAAAAGGTCAAAGGATATGAACAGGCAGTTTTCAGAAAAAGAAATCAAAGCTATCTGTAGTCATGAAAAAATGTTATAAATTACTACTAAGTACAGAAATGGAAATTAAAACAACTCTGAGGTACCACTTCACACCTATCAGATTGGTTAATATAACAAAAGAGGAAAATGACAAATGTTGGAGGGGATATTGGAAAACTGGTACACTAATACACTGTTGGTAGAGTTGTGAACTGATCCAACCACTCTGGAGAGCAATTTGGAACTATGCCCAAAGGGTTATAAAACTGTACATATCCTTTGACCCAGCAATACCATTTTTAAGTCTGTACCCCAAAAAGATCAAAGAAAAAAGAAAAGGACCTATATGTACAAAAATATTTATAGCAGCTCTTCCGTGGTGGCAAAGAATTGGAAATCAAGAAGATGCCCATCAATTGGGGAATGGCTGAACAAGATGTAGTATGTAATTGTGATAGAAAACTATTGTACTATAAGAAAAGCAGAATAGTTTCATAAAAACCTGGAAAAACTTACATAAACTGATGCAAAGTGAAGTGAGCAGAAAAAGGAGAATATTGCACAGGAACAGCAATATTGTATGATGATCAACCGTGAATGGCTTAGCTATTCTCAGCAATACAATGCGCCAAAACTATTCCAAATGACTTATGATGAAAAACATTATGAAAAATGCCATGTCCAGAGAAATAACTGATGGAATCTAAATGCAGATGCTTTATCTTTACTTTATTTTTCTCCAGGGTTTTTTTTTGTCTGTTTTCTTTTACAACATGACTAACATGGAAATGTTCTGCATGACTACTTATGTATAACCTATATCAAATTGCTTGCCTTCTCAATGAGAGGGGAAACAAGGGAGGATGGGAGAGAATTTGGAACTCAAATTTTTTTTAAAAGAATGTAAAAAATTGTTTTTACATGTAAGTGGAAAAAAATTTAAATTACGGTAAAAAGGGGGGGGGGGGAGAATATGCCTGATTTCCTATAAATCTAATCAAAAGGGCTTTAAGTAAAGAAGGGAGAGAAAAAACTGTTCATTACCACCAAAAGAGAGACTCAGTGGTTAACTACCATGTAGAGAGGAGGAGAAATGCCCAGAATGTCACCCCCGCACTGGCTACACTCTCCTCCTGTAACAAGTAGGTGATGGTTTTGGTTCCAAGCTAGCTAAAGTAAGGACTGCCCTATCACAGTCACCCGAAATCCATTTAGCCCTTCCTTGAGTCCCCATCTCTGTCTGTCAGCATCTTATCTATCCTTCAAGGCTCAGCTCAAATACTTTCTCCGCCATGATGCCTCACCTGATTCCATGCTCTGGAGATCATCTCTCCCTCCTCTGAACTCCCACAGCACTTGGTTTATACTCTTCCAAGCCACAGAACATGGACTAGCAGATGTGGGAGAGGCCAGATGACTAAGGGTCATCTAGTACAATTTCTTTCTGAAATAATGCAATCCCTGCATTCCATCTCCCCTTTCTATAATTTTGCCTAGGCTGTCCTCCAGGCCTGTAATGCCTCTTCCTTTCCACATCCTAGAATCTCCAACTTCCTTCAAGTCCACCTCCAACACTAAGCTCTTCCTAATACCCCCAGTACTAAGTGTTGTTTCCCTCCTGGAATTTTCTTGTATTTACTTTTCTGGGTACAAATTGGATCCTCTCAGTAGAATGTAAGCTTCTTGAGGGCTGGGGTTATTATGTTTTATTTCAAGTATAGAGCCTTATATAAATAATCTTGAAGTTTGCTGAATTGAATTAAATTCTCTCCAACAAACATTTGTCCAATCTCTGCTTAAAGTACTCTAATAACAACTATTTTACTCTCTCCTCTGAGGTCATTCATTCCAAAACTAGACAGCAGTCATCATCAGAAATTTCTTCCCTATAATCAGCCTAAAAATGTAGCCTCTCTACGACTTTCACTCATTGCCTACAGTTCTGTATTCTAGGGCTTTGATAAAATTTAACCCAATCCGGGGCAGCTAGGTGGCGCAGTGGATAGAGCACTCGCCCTGAAGTCAGGAGGACCTGAGTTCAAATCGGGCCTCAGACCAAACACTTGACACTTACTAGCTGTGTGACCCTGGGCAAGTCACTTAACCCCAATTGCCTAAAAAACTTTAAAAAAAAAATTTAACCTAATCCCTCTTCCATATAAGACACCTTTAGATATTTGAAGACAGTGGCCATGTCTCCCTAGGTCTCTTCTTCTCCAGACTAAACACTCCAGGTTCTTTTGACTGATTTCCCCTGCGGCATGGTTGTGAGTCCATTCAGCATCCTGATTGCTTTTTTTAGACTTGCTCTAGCTTGTAAATAGCCTTCTTAAAATATGGCAGCCAGAAATGAACACAGTACTCCATCCAGATGTCGCTTGACCTGGACAGACTAGAGCGAGGCTGTGATGTCTCTCATTCTGGTCTCTAGACTTATATTAGTTCAGGGAGTGTGGCTTTTCCTGCCGGTGCCATCATAGGCAAAATTTTGGTAGCAGGTTCCTCATGATCCTTGCTTAATGAATGCCAATCAGCATCTCTCCATGGGAGGGATGGTTTTTTCTGACAGCATCTCCCCCAAAGGAGGGAGTGACCTTCCAAGACAAAGGATGGTGTTCTTCTGAAACAGATTTGCCAGCAGGAGAAGGGGGAACTATGGAAATTTGCCCCGCTGAACTCAAATCCATTTTCCCATGGACGAAAAGATCTTTCAAATTCCCTTGGGTTATACTAATTCAGTATTTTGAGGATGAAGTTATTTCTGGCCACAGTGAATTCCTATGAGCAACAAGTACCCTGCAGCTCCTACCTCCATGAGAGAGCTATCTGGCCGTTCTTGGGAGGAATGAACCAGAAACAGTAGAAAAGAATGGGCCCAAGAACTTGGAAAAAAGAAGAATGCTAGAAAAGATAAAGGGCACCTTGTTGATAGGTTTAAGTTTCACAGGCCAGTCATGCTAGACTGCTATCTTAACTTTTGGCTACTTTGCTCACAATTAACCTAAGCTTGTAATTAACCTAAGTAGGTCTAGGGTGATGCGCTGGTTATAGCTTTATGATTAGAACAACCAGACTTCCTATAGGCATCATTAATTGAGATGGAAATTATCATTAGGAGAGACTATGGGGCAACAGAACAAGACTTGGGTCTAGCATCAGAGGACCAGGGTTCAAAGACTATTTGTGTTACTTACCACCTGTGTAGTGACCTTGGGCAAGTCAATTAATTTCCAGGGACCTCAGATTCCTCATTTGTAAAATAAGAGGGTAGTACTACATCAGGGGTTCTTAAGCTGAGGTCCATGAACTTTAAAAAAAAGTTTTTGATAACCTTATTTCAATATAACTGGTTTCCTTTATAATCCTATGTATTTGCTGGACATTATTCAGAGAAAGGGCCCGTAGTCAATGGAGTCCATGACATAAAAAAGGTTAGGAACCCCTGGACCACATGGTTTCTGAGGTCCTTCCAAACCATAGGTCTCTGATACAATGAGTTTCTACTCAATTAAACTTCTAAAAATTTACATGGAATTATTTATTCAAAAAGCTAATAATATAAACATTACTAGAATTACTAATTGCTCTATCATTTTCATTATTATATGCTATTAAAGCAAGATTTAAGGAAACAGAAATGTGTACTATGCTTTTAACATTTCCAAAGTGCCCTTTAGTTCCATCCTCTCACAGTATTTGAATTCTTTCTTTCTTTCTTGTTCCTGAAGAGCCAGGAGGCTATGTCACTGGATCAAAGACTACATAGTGGGGAGGAAGGTATAAGACCTACTAGCAGGCTATTGCAATAAGTCTAGCTATGAGATGATGAGGGCCTGCACTACAGTGATAGCAGTGTTAAAGGAGAGAAGGGGGCATATCCGAGAGATGCTGCAAATGTGAAACTGACAGGCATTGGCAAGAAAATGGATGTAGGGTGAGACATAGTGAGGAGTAGAGAATAAACTCCAAGTTGTGAGCCTAAGGGACGAGGAGGATGCTATTGCTGTCTATGGTAATAGGGAAGGTAGGAAAAGGGGAAGATTTAGGGGGAAAGATAACGAGTTCTATTTTGGACATAATGAGTATAAAATGTCTATTGTACATACAGTTTGAGATGTCTGAAAGACAGCTGGAAAGGAGAGACTGGAGGTCAGCAGAAAGTTTGGAGAAGGATAGGTAAATTTGAAAATCTTCAGTACAGAGATGGTAATTAAATCCATGGAAGCTGGTGAGATCATCAAGGGAAGCAGTATAGAGAAAGAAGAGAAGAGAGCCCAGGATCCTGAAAGAGGATCCAGCAATAAAGACCAAGAAGGAACAGTCAGAAAAGTAGGAGAATGAGGAGACAGCGGTGTTTCAAAAATCTAGAGAGAAGAGTATGAAGGACCAGAGTGTTCAACAGCATCAAGGACTACAGATAGGTCAATGAGAACTAAGAAAAGGACATTAGATCTGGCAACTAAGAGTTCATTAGTAACTTTGGAGAGAGCAGTTTCAATGGGCTGATAAGGATAAAAGCTAAATTGTAAGCAGTTAAGAGAATGAGAAGAAAGTGGAGGCACCTATTATAGACAGCCTTTTTGAGGAGTTTAGCTACAATTCAGAAGAAATATAAAATGGTAATTACCAGGGATGGAAGGATCGAGTAAGGGTTTTTTAAAGACAGGGGAGACATGGCCTTGTTTGTAGGCACAAGAGAATGAGCCTCTCCTTGAATCTTCAAGATCAGTAATGCTGATTGTATTTACTAGATGTGGGAGAATTCTTCAACCCAATGATTATCCTCCTGGAGATTAATTCCTCCTACCTTTAACTGGAGATCAATAAATCTAGAGATAAGACTAGAAGATAAATACTTCAATTAGCATCTGCTGATGGGCAGTTGCCAGGTAGCTAGTACTCCACAGAACACCAGCACCTCTGGTGTGAGGGCTTACTGAGCCTTTTCAGGGCTGCTCATCCACCCTTGGTATCCACTTTCACCTAACTCATCTGCGGCTCCAACAAGCTGTAGCGTTCACCAGGCCACACCCTGGTAAACTACCCAGGCAGAGGGGCTAAATCAGGTTGAAGGTCACCAACAGGCCTCAAACTCATTGGTGAGTTAGGGAGATGTCTAAGCATATGAAGACTTTCCCCCTCAACGGAATGGGCAGATGAGAATAATCTGTTCCAACGGCCATGAAGGTGGCTGAAGCAAGAGCTGTGGAGCACTCAGTCTGGTCAGGCACTGAAGATGTCAAGGTCATCCACTGCATCCTGGGCCATCACCAGTTGTCTTGACTTTTGTTCTGCCACTGGACTTCAATGACTCAGGAAAAGAGAGTGAGGCTAATGACTTTGTGCAACTCTGCCTCACTTAGGTCCAGTTCACTCGAAAGTCAAGATATCACCCATGAAGTCATTAATCCTTTTCAAAAATGAAGGACAAACAACACTGCTCTCCTCCCTTCCCTATCTTGCTCCCTATTAGCTCTACACTGTCCTCTTCTCTTGAGCCCCTTTGCCCCCGGTCCTATTATTTGATCTAGCTCAACTCTGAATTGCTCCAATCATCCTCTGCCTTCACTCTCACTCAAGTGTTCCTGAACAATGGTGGAGAAAACAGAAATTGTGTAGACTAGGTCCATTAAAAATTTATGTTACATAATCTTAACTGGGCTCTCACTGCAGCAAGACAATTCTTTCATACCTCCCCCTAATTAATTCACTATCCCCTGGCCCCACCCCACCACCACTAGCACCCCCTCTGCCGAGAACCTGGCTGCTTGACAAGTATTCTCCTCACTTCATATCATGCAGACGATTTCCCTTCCTATCGCTTCCTTCACCTCAGTCTCTCATAAGAGGCAAGTCCTTCTCCTTGCCAAGGCAAACCCCACTACGTGAACAAGTGATGTCAGCCCATCCCTTCTTCTCCAGTACTTGTCCCCTGTACCATCCCCTCTATTAATCTTCAATGCTTCCCTGTCTACTGGTTGCTTCCTTCTCATATAAAATCATATCGCTCCTGAGAAGACTAGTCTTTAAAATAAAAATCCCTTCATGGAATCAGATTATAAATGGGAAGGGACCTGAAAGGCCACCTAGTCCAATCCGGCACTTTACAGATAAGAGAACTGAGGCCTAGACAAGTTACATGACTTGCCCAAAATCACACTGATTGGAACTGGCAAAGCCAGCATTTCAACTGATGTCCTTTGATACCAAATCCTGTATATCACACCACCTCTTAATCACTGAAGGCAAGAAACTCAGGAGCCAGACCCTGTTCTAACCCATTTAAAAATAACCCCCACTCCCATCGCCGCCTCTTCTCTCCCTTCTTCCCCTCCTTCTGATATTCAGTCTTGCTCCTCACCTCTTTCTTGCAGGAACTGGGGCTCGGGAGACCCGCACTTGATCTGGGCGTCCATAGGCTGAAGCTGGACATTCAGTGCATCCTGTGCTGCTCTCAAGGGTGCCATCTTCTCCCAGGCCCCTGCCTCTCTCTGTGTGCTTGATGCAACCTGGAGATAACGAGATATGTTTGCCTTTGTGAAAGAATCACCACGGAGGCTAAAACATAAAATATAGAAAGAAAGTACATTCCTTCAGGGATACAGGACAGGGGAGGAAGAACCAGAGTCTTGTTTGTCAGATTCAAACTGGCTGGATTAAGATTTACCATAAAACAACCCAGGAGGCACTTTTTATTACTAATGAATAGTCCACTGCCTTTCAAGAAAATGGCTGACTGGGCACATGAAAGAATTAACCACATAGGAAATTTTTTGTTACTGACACACAGGAAATCTCATGAAATTTGTGCTAATGTTATCATGATGTGGATATTTGAACAATTTAGTATTTAGCAAGATGAATGTGCAAGAAAAATTCAAGCAATTGTGGATAAACTCTTCATAATATTTATCCATTTTTACCAATTAAAAATAAATCATGGGCTTAACTTTAACCATTTGTAGACCTATCACATCCATAACATTACTTTAACTTTTAAAAAGTATGAAAAATCATGTTACCAACAATTGTTCTTTTTTTATATATTTTATTTTTTCCCCAAATACATGTTAAAACATTTTTAAACTTTTTTTAAAAGTTTTAAGTTCCAAATTCTATCTCTCCCTCCCCTCCCCCATCCTCCCCAAGACAATAAGCAATCAGATATAGATTATATATATATAAGAACTGTTCTTAAGCACTAAGCCTAAGAGTAGAATGTTAGGGAGGATTTTGAGTATATTAGTACACACTAGCTAAAAAGTTGGGAAAATCTGATTACCTCCTTTGTTGTTGTGATAGAAGATAACAGATTGAGAGCTGAAAGGCATCTTAAAGTATCTAGTCCAACATTTTACAGAGTGAGGAAAGTGAGGACCAGAGAAGTTAAAAGGCTCACTCTAGAATAAGAGGAAAATTCATGATTCAAGCAAAGGTCTTCCCAACCCAAATTCAACACACTTTACACTCTACCAGCATCCCTCCCACTCCATGTTTATTTTCACCTACATTTTAGTATCACATTTGACCCCCTTCTCCTTGGTTTCCATAATACCACACTATCCTCGTTCTCCTATCTCTTTGACCACTTCTCTATGTTGTTCTATGGTTCTTTTCTATACACTTACAAACAGGCTTACCCCAGGATTCAGTTCTTTGCCCTCTAACTTTTTTTTATATATATACTTTCCCTAGAGATCTCATTCATTTTCAGGTAAATTTGGCAATTAAGTCAACCAGGTCAAAAAACTCTCATCCTTTATCTGCTCCCTAATGCTTCATATCTAGTCACTCACTAAGTCCACTTGATTTTGTCTTTCTATCCACATCACCTTGCATAGTTCCTTACACAAAGAAGATGCTTAATAAATGTTCACTGATTGACTACAGATATTGCTTCCTAAAATGGTCTCCTTGCCTCCAATCTTCCTTAACAAAGTCAATACACCACCAGAATAATCTTAGTAAAACTACTTTTCATAACACACTCTTGCTCAAAAACAAGAACACAACCAACAACCCTTCACTGGCTCCTCCAATATTACTGAAAAAGTTCAAATCCCTTAGCCCGTCTTGTTAGACCCTGTTCCCTTTCTAGTCTCATTTCAAACTATTACCCTATAGGGATCCTCCACCCCAAACTAGTCAACTATTCCCTAAATACTTAAACTAGTTCTCCAAGGATTAATATACTTGTATGTGCCTTTAACCTCCCTTAGGGACTACAATTACTTACTAGATATTTCTAATGAAGGGGCCCCCCAAGGTCAACAGTCCCCAACTAAACAAGTAAGTTCTTCTCACCCCCAACCCCTTCCATTTCTGTTATCACCCCCAACCCCTTCTATTTCTGTTAATGAAACCAACACCCTCTCAGACATGCAGCTGGAAACCATGGCACTGTCTCTGGATATGGCCAACAAGGAAAAAGGAAGAGACATAAACCCTGTTGATCAAATCTCCTCCTTTCCATTTACATTGCTACATCAGGCTCTCTCTCTACCTCTCCTCTAGACCAGGGCTTCTTAAACTTTTTCCACTCCTGATCCCTTTCTGCATTTCCAGAGCAGTCTGTTAGCTTTGCGTGGCCACAGGTCACATGCAGTACAAAGTGTTCATGCTTTGTTTTAAGAACCAAGACTGTAGCGAAGTTGTGAGATGCACAAGCACTGCCAGAAACATCTCAGATTCACTGTGTGTTTGATTTTTACTTTTTGGTCTTTGTGTGTTCAGAAACCTTTTACTGTTGCCAAATTTTTCACGCCCCTACATAGGGTCACAACCCACAGTATAAGAAACACTGCACTAGTGCCTTTTAACCAGTTTCCCTGACTCTAGTCTTCAATCAGATTTTAACTCAAATCTTCCTGATGCTAGAGGCAGCTAGGTGATCCAGAGAATAGAGTGCCAGACCTGGATTCAGGAAGACTCATCTTCCTGAATTCAAATCTGGCCTCAGACATTTACTAGCTGCGTGACCCTGAGCAAGTCACTTAACCCTGTTTGCCTCAGCTTCCTCGTCCGTAAAATGAGCTGGAGAAGGAAATGGCAAACCACTCTAGTATCTTTGCCAAGAAAACCCTAAATGGGGTCACTAAGGATTGGACGTGACTGAAAGGAATAAATAACAGCAACGAAAACTTCCTGACTCCAGCTCCAGAGATCAATCCACTGCACCACCTAGATACCCTCCTATATCTTTATTATATTCTAATTCAAATTATAGTTACTGCCCTATTTTTGCAACTGGACTCTTAGTCCTCAAGGAGGTTACAATGCATAGGCATTTTATTGTTTATTGTTTAGTTTACTGTTTATTGTCTATTCTTTTGTGCTTATTGAATTGTGGCTAGTACAATTTTGTCAATTTTTAAATGAAGTCAGAGGAACTAAAGATTATGTATTTTTTGTAGCCCTCACATTGAATAATACTGATTTAACTACAGTAGGCACTCAAAAAATATTTGTTGAATGATTCCACAAACATGTTCTCTACAGTCCCCTACAATTAGGAGGAAATTCTTACATCTCATATCTTCAAGAGCAGTTGAGCAGCTGGTAATAAGAGAATAAAAAAGAGACAAATACATGGATTAATAGTCCTAGTTAATTACACTAAAAACTGGTGCTTACTTACTTTCTTCTCATAACTATTGCCTTGATCGACAAATCAAGTCAACCAACATTTATGAAGTGCAAATCATATGCAAGGCACTGTGCTAAGTGATGGGAATACAGAGGTAGGAGGAAAAAAAAAACAGCGCCTGCTCTCAAGGAGCTCACTCTCTAATGGAAGAGACAAAAGAACACTCTTTTCCCAAAATAAATTAAGTTTGCCCTTTCCCACCTGTTGTCCTGGTTCAAGAAGCTCTCTCTCCAAATCTTCCAGCACAATTACCACCTCCTCTCCACTCTCTGGATGCTGATCTCTCACCCAGGTCTGCAGGTCCTCTGGCAAAATGGTCAGGAACTGTTCCAGGACCAGCAACTCCAGAATCTGCTCCTTCGTGTGTATCTCTGGTCGTAGCCACTGATGACAAAGTTCCCAGAGTTTGCTCAGAGCCTCTCGGGGTCCAGGGGTGTCATAATAGCCAAACTGCCTGAACCGCAGGCGGGAGATCTCCTGGGTGGAAGGGCTGTTCCTCTTCTGGCTACCTTTCTCTCCCCACAGGTAATCCTCTTCTTCCTCCATGTTTACCACCTGAAGTCTCTCTTTCACTGTTGGATTCTGGGGATCCAGGGCTACAGCCTCTCTAGATTCCACAGCCATTTAAGCTTGTTCAAGTTAAGAAATACAAAACAAAATTCCACAAGGATCTATGCCTCAAAGATGTTCCCTTCAAGGACAACCCTAAGGTATAAGAAACCAAAGTTAACAAAGAGTTATTAAACTAATGATGCTATTAGAGGACTATGACAAGTTAAGGAGGGTCCTTCAAAATGATCATTCATTGAACGTAAAATATGACGGGAAGAAAAGAAACACTAACGGGTTAACCAAGTAATTCCTAAGCAAATTTGGATATTTGGGAAAATTGAAATAAACACGAAGTTCATACGCCCCCTAGCGGCAAGAAAGCTCACTGAGGATGGACCCCAGAGAGTCCAAGTAATGCCATGGAGCATGCGCAGACACCCAGACAGACTCTTTCTTTCCCCGCCCCCCAGGAATGCAAAATCTCTTCGCCCAACCGCACCCTGCCAGGTCTCCTCAATCCCCCTCCCCATAATTCCACAACCCCTCCCCTCCCCCCAAAGCCAGAGGCCAAGAAACTCAACTGCCAAAATCACAGGCCTCGGGCGCGAGGGTTCTCAAGTGACGCAAGGGCTAGCAGTCATCAACACAAGCTCTTTGGTCTCTGTTTCCTCGCCTGAGGCAGAAGTTAGTTATTCCCCAACCCCGCCCCTCCGCCCTCCGTCCAACCCAGTCCGCACCTCCACTTCCAGATTACATTTCCCGGAACCTCCGGTCTGGGTTTCCGCCCTTTCCGGGGTGATTGAGGCCGACGGACCACTGTCAAGTGGTTGCTATAGAGACCAGGATGAAGGGCACGTGACTCCGAAATAGAGACAAGTGTCCGACCCGCTAAGGCCTGGGACTAAGTCTAAAAGCGCAGTCTACACAAGCGTGCAGGAGGCGAAGCTGCCCTCTGGCTTCAATGGGTAAGGGAGCTCAAGGCTCAGAGTCCAGCAAGAGAAAGGAAGCTGGCGCTAGGTCTGTCGAGAACTTCGCCGCCTGGATTTCTGGGAAATGTAGTCCGGAAAAAAATGGACTCTACCCTGGAGGCCTTTGGGACTCGTAGTCCAAAGGCAACTTGCACACTCTTCCATGACATCCTGTGCGGAACAGCAGGAGATGCACGCACAACCCCTTCTCCCTCTAACAGAATCCTACTGGCGGGACTCTTAAGTGTTTAATTGAGTCTGGCTCTTCAGCCTAGATGTCTGGGCCCCCAATCGTTTTCTTTGCGAACCTTCCCCTCCAGCCTCCTTACCTCCTTGCCCACAGGGAAGATGGCGGTGGGGATGAAGCCTAGGAGCCCCAGGATGGAGTTTGGCGCCGGGAAATCGGGCTGGTCCCGCGCCGGTGACGTCATCGCGGCGGGTGGGGAGGCTTGGGGTCGGCCTGGCTCAGAGGAAAGGGGAGAAGAAGCAGCCGCGGCTGACAGCCCGGCCATTGGCTTGGGCCGCTTCCTTGGAGGTGACCATCCCGTCCGCGCTGCCCAGCTCGCGGGGCTCCCTGTGGGCGCGGGAGCAAAGGTCCGCCCGGGCCTTTGTCGGGGCCCAACCTGCCCTGCCGTCCACCGGCTCTCTCCAGATTTGGGGGGCACATGTTTACCCAACCCTGTCTTCTTCAGGCCCTGGGGTTCGCTCTTCTGTTCCATTCACCTTTTTCTGTCTACACCTCCCGCCCCCTGTACCAGGCAGCTTTTATACCTATTCCTCTGGGTTACCTTTGGAAATCCAGAAATAACAATAGCTAGTGTTTTAAAATCTGAAAAGAAAGCCCATTCTGAAGAAATAGTATCTCTTCTACACCACAACCCTGGCATGTGGGGACTGTTACTGTCCCCATTTTACAGATCAGAAAACTCAGGCAGACAGAGTGACAGACCAGTACGTGACTGAGGCTGGATTTGCATTCAGGTTTTCATGACTCTGGGCACTGTCCATCACCCAGCTGCCAGGGGGAGTTATTAGGGAACACCAGCCCTTTCCTCACCATGTGTTTACTTTTTATTCTTGAGTCTCTTTCCTACCTACTTTCCATATGGCTCTCATGAATCTCGTTATGATTCTGTGAAATTGCCTATTGCTATTTTGATGGAGCCCAGAATTAAGAGGAGGGAGAGGAGAGCAGCATAGATTATCTGGAAATGATGGGGTGCTTGGGCGCCTGCGCTTGGATCCAAATTTCTCCCTGGCCTCTTAAACACTATCCCTGGCAATCTCCCACCAGCCCAAGGACCCTATCTCTGGCAATAACTCTTGAGTGGACCCAGTGAGGCAAACTATCTCTCCCTGTTATAAGAACAAGCTGACCTCTGTAGAATTTCCCTTGTATGAACAGGACTGTCTTATACCAGCAGAACTATCAAATACTGATGCCTACAGTTACCATATGTAATCAAGAGGTCAAGCTACAGACGTCAACTCCTGAAACTTGTTTTGTTACAGACATAACAGACCAAAAATACACCCTTTAGGAACTCTCTCTTCCCCCCACCCCTTTCCAGTAGTGAATCACCTAATTAGCATACTTGCCACACTACTTTTCCTGTATAAACTTTAGCATCATTCCTATTAGGTTGCAAGTTCCTTGAGAATCCTTACCCACTGTATAGCGCAACAATAGATCTTCTGCCATCTTGACTCAAAGAATACTTGAGTGTGAATTCATTCCAGAGACTACACTCCCGTCCTGGAGGGATGGAAATCTCGCAGACTGAAACAGAAATAAGAAATTGCTGGGCTTCTTTAATGGCCTCAAACGTCTTGAAATGAAGGGACATCTTTTAGTTCTGATGTTTTATTAGTGTTGTGGTGTAGCTTCAAGTTTTGGAACCCCAGTTGCCCAGGAATAAAAAGTGATTTATCACAGGTAAGAGTGATACTGACTTGATGACCTCAAAGGCACCTTCCAAGCTCCAAATTAATGATCCTATAGATTTATGTTCTTGGGTTTATCAAATACAGTAACCCAAAGTTACAATTAGGTCCAGCTGGCAACTTTTCCTTATCTCCTTTGTTCCACTGATTTGCTTTTCCATTTTTTAACTCTTACAAAATAGTTTTGATGATTATCCTTATATAGTAAAACTGGAGGTCTGGAAGTGTTACTACCCCTTCATTCCTTGTTTTTTCCGCTGTTTTCTTTGAGATTATATAGACCTTTTATTGCTCCAAGTGAATTTCTGTAGCTCTAAGAAGTATCTCCTTGATAGTTTGGTTTACATAAGTCTAAATCTGTAAATTAATTTGGATAGTATCATTTTAATTATATTGAGCTCAAACATGAGCAGTGAATAATCTTCCTATTGTTTTAGTCATTCTTGACAGTAAAGGACATCATCAATGAAATGTATTATTGAAAAATAGGCAGTCTGGTCATGTGGCAATAGGGAGAGATCAGGATTTGGATGGCCTTTGAGTTCCACTGGTATCTTCGTAATGTCAAAAGGAAGTAAGGCACAGACACAAATGGAAACTTAATGAAATGCCAAATGATGAGTGGATCAAAGAAAAAAATTTTAAACATTAATAATTATGTCAAAAAAACACAATAATAATGACACAATATACCAAAATTTCTGGGATGCACCTAAAGCAGTCCTTACAGGGAAACTGTTATCCTTACAAATAGACATTAACACAATAGAAAAAGAAAGGATTAATGAAGTAAATATACATTTTGATTAGAAAGCCAACAAACACACCTAAAAGAAGCACAAAAGAGGAGATATTAAAAATTAGAAGAAAAATAAATTAGGAACCAAAAAAACTATAGAAATGATGAAAACAAAAGCTGGTTCTTTGAAAAGACTAATAAAATTGATCAACCTTTAACCAATTTGATTAAAAGATAGAAGGCAGAAAATCAAATTGACAAAATAGCAAATTAACAAGGTAAAATCACATTAAAATGGAAGGCAATAAAGAGAATAATCAGAATCTATAAGACACAGTTATGTATTTTTTAAAAAACTGAACAAAAAGAAATAGAGGAATACCTTAAAATATAAAATACCCAGATTAACAGAAGGCCAGCTAGAGATATTTAATAACTAAATAGAATTACCTATAAAGGAACTACCAAAGAAAAAACTCCTGGTCCTGAGGGATTTGCAGGAGACTTCTATCAGACTTTTTAAAGAACAAATGGTATTCAGATTACACAAATTATTCTGAAAAATTGATAAAGTACCCTACTAGAATCTTTTCATGAGACAAATACAATCCTGATACCTAAACCAGGGAAAGATAAAATATAGAAGGAAAACTGCAGACCAATATCAATAAAAAATGTTGAATAAAAGTTTTGAATAAAATCTTGACAGATTTATCAAAAAAATCATTCACTGTGACTAGGTTGGATTTATACCAGGAATGCAAAGATACTTCCATATTAGGCAAAACAATCAACAATAATTCATAATATTAAAAATAAAAATATTCAAAAACCACACGATTATTTCGATAGATGTGGGGGAAACCTTTGATAAATTAGGACAGTAATTTATGAAGAAAACCCTTCAAAGTATAGGCTTAGAGGGAATGATTTTTTTAATATCAAAAAACGTACGTCTAAAACCAAAAGCAAATATAATATACAATGGGAATACATTAGAACTTTTTCCAGTAAGTAAAGGAGTAAAGTAAGGGTACCCACTCTTCCCATTATTATTTGATATAATACCAGAAATGCTAGCAATAGCAACAAAACAAGAAAAAGAAATTAAAGATGTAAAGAAATGTAAAAAGGGAAGATAAATCTATCTCTGTTTGCTGATGATAGAATGATTTACTTGGAAAATCCTAAGGTATTGGCAAAGATACTTTTGAGACAACAGCTTTAGGAGAGTTTCAGTGTACAAAATAAATCCTCAAAAATCAGCTGGATTGGGGCACATAGGTGGCACAGAGGATAAGGCACTGGCCCTTCAGTCAGGGGGACCTGAGCTCAAATTCAGCCTCAGATACTTGACATTTACTAGCTTAACCCTGATTGCCTCAGCCAAAAAAAAAAAAAAAATCAACTGGACTTCTTTATAATAATAAAATCCAGGAGACAATAATTCAAAGAGAAATCCCATTCCCAATAACTAAAAAACGAATACAGAATATTCAGTGCTCGCTGCTAGGTCTTTCCAATGTAATTAAAATGATTCATGATCATGCATGATTCATCTTTTTCTCCCTCTTGGCACAAGGCCTTGAATATAAGAAGAACTCAACAGTTTGCTGAATGAATGAATGAGGAACCAAATATTTATACTTGGCCATTTTGTTAGTGTACATGATATCAACTATTTACATCTAAAATCAATAACTTGATCCAATAAACAGTTATTGAGGCCTATGTGTAGGATATAAAAGTAAATAAAATAACTGGTCTCTACCTTTAAGGAGCTTAAGTGAAGTTGGGGACTGTGATGCTTTTCTGACTAAGAGAATTATAGATCAGAAGGCTAGCCCTGGGGTGATTAGCTGAGCTCCTTCGAGGCACCATTGCCTGCTCCTCTGAAAGATGCCATTGGTAAAAATTGGTGCTATTTAAGGTAATCTAGGCCCAACAGATAGACTTCTTTCAGGCCCAGATAACTGAGAGAAGCCAGGATGTAACACATGCTCTTCTCATAAACTATACGTATGTGGAGACAACTATGGTGTAAAGAAGAGGTGTCAAACGTGTTCTTCAGGCAGCTGACAAAGTGGGGCCAGGACTAGATTAAAATGTAATTGGGGAATGTCTAATAAGATAAATAAAAATTTAACAACAATGTAAATTTGTGGTTTTTCTAAGTCAATATTCTGCCCACAGTTATCTGTTTCTGAGTTTGAGACCACTGGTATAGTGGATAGAAAGTTCTCATAACCAGGAAGGTGATGTATAGTGGCTGATTTAAATGTATATTTCTAATGCTATACCAACCAAAATATCAAAGTGATACTTTATAGAACTTAATAA